ATATTAAAAAAGAAGCTTATTTAGCTCACAGTTTTGGAAGCAAGAAGTATACACTGGCAGCCCCAACCTCTCAGCCCCTGGCAAGGGTCTCCTTGGCTATATCACAACACGGTGTAAAAGCAGAAAGGGAAACAGCTGCATGCAGAGGAGGCCGAGTACCTTGGGTAGACCTGCTTTTTAACTACCCACTCTCATGAGCATTACCAGGGTCCCATGCAAGTTACACACGTTCCTCCCAAGGGCACCCCCAATGACCTCCCATGAAACCCCTCCTCTAGAAGGTTCCACCACCTCTTGACATCACCACACTAGGGACCAAGCTTCCAGCACATGAACCCTCGGGGGATAAGCACATCCAAACCATAGCACAGTCTCACCTGTCTGTGTGTCAGGTTCACCAACACCACAGGGCACAACAGACCACGCAAATCAGGAGCCACTGCAGTGGGTGGCTTGGCCTCGCCTTTTTACCAGTTTAGGTGTTTTCATTCAAAACATGCCAACCTCTCTTCTAGGTACCAAGATAAGCAGGAACACACAGGCGAAGTTCTGGAATTCTGGAGCCTCTTCTGCACAGTTCTGGAGCTTTGCCTAGAGCTTATACTCTAATAGAGAAGACAGACAGCCAAAGAGTATGCCACCCAATGAAGAATGCAATGCCGGCGGAGTTAAGAATCGGGGGGAAGTCAAAGTAAGGCAAGAACGGGGGTCTCAGCTCCCACTATAAAAGGGGTGGAGCCCTCACTTCCATCCTCATGACAAGACAAAGCTGGACACACTGAAAATCGGTACATTTTCTTGGGCTGATCAGTAAGCTGCATTTGCTAATTACCACCCCGAGATCTAGACAGGGACAGGCAAATCCAGAAGATCATGACTGCGATCTGGTGACCTGCAGCAGAGCCACCAAAGCCAGGGTTTGGGTGGTTTTGATAGACTGCTGAAGGCAGAGTGTGAATTCAGGTGGCAGCTAGAAGCTCCTGGGGCCACAGTCTTACGAGCCCCCAAACTTTTTGGGCTTTATCTCCAAGATCTCCACTAGCTGCTCACTGTAAAGAGCCGGAAAACATCTGCCCGTGGCTCTGGCAGAGGGAGCGGGCAGGAACCTCTGCAAAATTCCCCCAGCACCTTCTCCAGAAGAAAGTGAGAGAGGCTCAGCAGACCTGCTTCAGAACCGTGGGACAGGGCGCTCCCAGAACCGGCCCCCCAGGGCCATCCTGTCTCACAACACGCCAACAGAGCTGTAATAACATGTTAAGTCGAACAAGCCAGACCTAACAGGCAGGTCACAAGTTTTCTGATTTCTAACTTACAGGAAACATTTAGAGCAGGTAAATGCACAGGCGGGGTACAAGACTAGTAGCTGCCAGGGAGCAGGAGACTGGCTGCTTAATGGTCATGAACGCTTCCTTCGGGGATGATGAAAATGTTTGGGACCAGAGGGAGATGATGGTCACAGAGCACTAGGAATACATTAAATGTCTGAAATGGTTGGTGGCTTGATGTGGTGATGAGTAAAGAAAGCAAAGCACATAGACACCACAGAATACTACTCAGCACAAAAAATCATGATATCCTGTTGTGCATGGAGAGAGAGGCAGAGCAAGGGGGAAGGTGACCAGGCAGAGGAAGGGTACACGGATCACTGAAAAAACAACACAGAGAACAAGGCACAGAATTAAAATCTGTACCTGACAATCACCTCGGACAAAGCACCGGAGCAGGCACAAGGGTGAGAGCCCCAGGGAAGTGGAAGAAGGAGGACCCGCCCCCATCTGCCCGCCATCACCCACCCGCAAGACCCCGAAAGAGCAAAGAACAGACAACAGCACAGAACAAGGATGAAGCACAGGCAGGGCTCCTGGACAGTGTGGCCTGTCAGACCCTGGCAGCGCAGAGGAGGGCAGGAGCACGTCAAGAAGGGGACAGCAACGCAGAAGACACTAGCCATGGAGACACAACTAAGTGTCCCAAACCCACAGCCCTCCCTCAACACCCCAGGCCAGAGGACCCATGGCAGCCCCATTCGTCTCTGCCCACCACCCACCTCAAGAGGCCATGGCCTTGTTCTCCAGAGAAACCAAAGGACAGGGGCTGGGGATTTAGCTCAGAGGCAAAAGCGCCTGCCTGGCAAGCACAAGGTCGTGAGTTCGGTTCCTGGTACCAGAGAAAAACCAAAAAAAAAAAAAAAAACAAAACAAAAACCAAGAAACCAAAGGACAGTCGAGCCTCGGAGACTCGTGGTTTAGTTCCAGACCATGGTAATAAAGTGAATACAAAATGCAGCGAGCCACAGGGACTGTTTGCTTTCCCAGTGCATATAAAAGTTATGTTTGCACTATATTGTATCTAGTAAGTATATGATAACATTGCATCTAAAAAATGCAACACATATTCCCTGATTAGAAATTATTACTAAAAAGTACTAATCATCATCTGAGCTGTTGGGAAAATGGCACTGATAGAATTTCTCAATGTGAAGTTGCCACAAACCTTCAATTTAAAAAATAGGAAGTATCTGCAAAGCACAGTACAGGGAAGCCCAAAAAGGCAAAGTGTTCCTATATTTTGGATCTGGGGGATGTTTGTTACTGTTATTTCATGTGGCCTTTCCTGACCTATACCTGCTATATAAGGATTTCACCCAAAATACAGGTATTGGTTAAATGCAGCAGATTTACACAGGAAAATATGTGCATTAAAATCATCTTTACTACAATAGACAGTCAAGAAATATGACTGCAGGCTGGAGGTGCAACTCGTGTAAGCCCTTTGCCTATCATGCACAAGGCACTTGGGTTCAATCCTCAGCGCTTCCCCGCCCCACCCCCGACACACACACACACATCAGTGCCTTATTTTTTACACATGTGGAGCTAAGGCCCAGAAAAACTTAGGAAGTGATGAGCTGGGAGGGCGTTGTTCAGGAAAGCGAAGGCAGTGGTCTGCTACTTTTCCACCAACTTCTAACACAGGTATATGTATTACTCTGACCAAATACAAATAATTTTGAAAAAGTGAGTGGTGACACTGGGTCATGACAAAGGCACAGGTGGGTGGCATGTGCCATGTCAGAGCTGGTGCTGGCCTGCTTAGAAGGCTGTATAAGCAAATCCATGCACAGGCTAGTCTTTGCTGCCTTGGTTTTCCCCAGCAGCCAGGAGAGGCCCTGGTGCCATGACATCTGTGGCTGAAAGCTCTAGAGCTGTAAGATGAGGGTCCAAACTCCAGTTCTACCACTCCTGAGTGTGAGCAGCAGCCTCAGTTTTCTCCCTGGCCTTCAGTGGTGGCTTCAGCAGGGTGACTGGGGTAACTGAAGCTCTCTCAGCACACTGCGGGGTACAGAGCATGTAGAATGAAGACGCCTCTGCTGCTTCTTAAAAGCTTGAACAAACACAGCCAAGCATCACTTAATGATGGAGACGCATTCTGAGAAGTGCGTCATCCAGCGATTGCTTCATTGTGGGAAGTCAGAGTGACGACGTCAACCTAGGCTGTATGGGGTGGGGTGTGTGTGTGCATGTGTGTCAGTACACTTGCATTATATATACACGATACAGTGTATGGCTACAGGGCCCTGATGAACAAAACAAGGCAAGATTAAATGAATCAGAGAAAGGACAATGTGATCAATACACAGGGTACACATGAGACAGATGAGACTGCTGCCACGTAACAGGGCACCCTGCTTTATAATCAACTGAGTTTTCTTATAAATACAAGGCGTACATTCTAAAAAACATGTAACAATATATACAGTAAATACAGTAAATACAGAAACCAGCAACAGAGTCAGTTACTGTTGTCAGCTTTCCATTATAATCGTATGCAGCCACTACTGGGCGTACAGTACATGTGGACCAGGACATTGCTACATGGCATGCGTCTGTACTGGAAGGAGCCGCCATGCAGAGTAGGCTTCCTAAGAGCTGGCCACCTAGGTCCCTGGGCCTCATCACCACAGTGACAGGAAAGGACACCCAGGACTGCAGCACAGAGGACAAAAGGCACAGGGGCAACAGAAGGAGGGGGACGAGTGGTCACAGGAAACATATGTCTACTGTCTGGCCATTTGTCCTCGAGCAATGCAGTTCTCTTTCCTTGCCTTTCTTCTCTAAATGCATTTAGTCCTCTGCATCTACAGGTGCCACATATATGGATTCAACCAACCGCGGATGGGAAAATTTTTAACTCCAGCAAGTTGCAAAACGTCACCACAGTCAGGTGTGGTAGCAAACACCTGTAATCCCAGCACTCAGGAGGCTGAGACAGGAGGATCATCACGAGTTCAAGGCCAGCCTGAGCTACCTAGGGATTTCAAGGCCAGCCTGAACTACATGGTAAGGCCCTGTCTCAAAAAAAAAAAAAACAGTCACCACACACTGAGTACTGCTCTGGATCCACACAATGTCCTGCTGCATGGGCAGACACCGCTGTAGCGCCTCCGGCAGGTTGCAAATCCTCAGTCCTCTCCAGAACTCATTGTTTAAGCATTGTTCACCTAAGTGAGTCATGAGGTGAACAATGCTAGGGCTATGATGGCTGCATCCATACTGAACATGTACAGAGGTTTTTCTTGTCATTTTGTCTACTAATATAGTATAACAGCTATTTCCATAGCATTTCCATTATATGAGATACTGTAAGTCATCTAGAGAGGATCTGAAGGAAACGGAAGGACTGTGTAAGTTCGATGCAAATACTTATATTTTAAGTGATACTGCCATTTTACACAAGGAAACTGGCATCCTCAGACTTTGGTATCTGTATGGATCCTTGGAAACAAATTCTTACAGATACAAAGGGATGACCACAAGTGTAAATTTGTAAAAACAGAGAATAATTTTTACAATGAGTGTTAACTGCATTGAAGCTTCCGGCAGAAGCTGAGGGCACTGTGCGCCTCCTCTCACAGCTCCTGTTTAGCACATTAGCTGAGACTCCTACATGAAGGGTGTGTCAGGCAAAGCACCCCAGGGACCGAGACACATCCTACTCACCGGGAATCTCCAGGCACAAGATGCCTCTCACCAGGTCTGCAGGACACTCCGGGACGCTGCGGTGGGTGGTTCTCTCCCACAGAAGGCAGCAATGCTTGAATATTCAGAAGACTGTAAGGGAAAAGATCACAAACAGGGCATTAACCAGCTGAGAAAGCAAACAGCTCATTCATAAAGCGGGGAGATGTGCTAATAACAGAGCTTACAGCCTATAACCTCAAAACAGGACAAGGACTTTGAGATTCTTTAGGGCAAGCAAACATTTGGAAAAACAAAGTCAAGAGCTGATCACCATTCTCCCAAGGTCTTAAGGGCGCCTCATATGTACACACAAAGGTCGGTGACTACCGATAACAAATGCTTTGAGGCTGTGTGCGCTCTAGCTCCGTGCTAAGCACGTGGGGAAGGCATTGCTGAAACTCCTTCCGAGAAAGATATGGGAAACCCTCGCCATAAATATTTCAGGTTTCATTTGCTCTCCCAGGAAAGGAGACACATTCATCGAGGATCTGATCCTAACTTGTTTCTCTACATTAGCAAGCTGCTAGGGGTGGTGCAGGGCTTAGTGTAACTGGGGTTATTTGTCTTAAAATCACGTTGGGGTGGGGCGTAGCTCAGTGGTGGAGCACTTGCCCGCACACACAAGGCCCTGGGTTTGATTCCCAGCACTGCAAAATAGCATTTGCCACAGATGAAGGCAGGGGAAGAGTCTACCCTAAAGAAAGGGTGGCGGTGCAGGCGTGGATGACCAGGCAGGGGTCAGCACGTGGCCAGGGGCCCCTCCCAGACCACTGCCTGCCTTGTGTCAATCAGCACCACCCCCCCAAGTCTCCGCACAGAACCACATGCAGAGAGTGATTCCTGGGTCCCACCTGAGCACTGCCGCCAGCAGCCGGCCAAGTCCAAGTAACCCACATGGGCCGCAGCTTCCTCCCGCCAACAAACGACAGCAGTCCTGGACACTGTGCCTCACGCCCCACCACCACCCCCAACTCCTCTCCCCGCTCCTCCCCATCAGGCCCAAGGAGGGACCCGACCCTGTGATTTATGGGGGTCAGCCACCACCTCACTGTTCGCTGCTTCCCCTGGGCCGCGTCCCACAGCGGAAGCCTGCTAAGTGTAGTCACGCTCCCTGTCCTCCAACGGCCTGCTAGGACACAGCAGAGTGACTGGCGGGGACCCTGTCCACTGCGGGAACCCAGGCCACCCCTCACCCCACCTGGCCCTCCTCACATGGGGGAGGGCATGCAGGCACAGTGCCCCATGACAGCCAGCCTCTGCACCACCAGGCACAGGCTCGCCCCATCCCTCCACAAGGCCCCGTACCATCTGTGCATCACTTCTATGCTCCTGTCTAAGCTATTCCCTTTACTGTTCCTGTGGAATCTTCCCAGCAAACTCCTACTCATTCTCCAAAACCCAACTAGGGGAGGCAGCCCCAAAGTGCAGTGGTAAGCACACTGTTCTTAGCCTTGTCTTTCTTATTTTTAAAAAATTGTATTAGTACATGCAATTCAGAATTATCCTGGGGAGTGAGCACATATACATAACACATTTTCTTTTTCTTTTTAGTCTCCTTCCCACCCCTCCTCTACTCTTCTGCTAATTCCCCTTTATCCATTTTCATTCTTGCTGATATTACTAATCTCAGCTCCTGTTTATGGCGTATAATTTACATTCACTGAGCTTCTTAGGACCCTGTACATGGCACATCCTTATTCTTCTTACCTCTCCCGCCTCATCGTTGGTCTCCTGGACCCCTTCCCTATTGCAAGAGATCCACCCTCTTGTCTCCTCCTAGCCATTCTTCATGATTCTCCTTGTACTTTGCCTTTGGCCCTGTCTTGCTCCTGCAATTCTCGGTGTATGCCTGACCATCTCTCCTGCTCCCTCTAGGGCTCCTGCTCCTCTGGGGGCTTCTTCATCCCAAGAAAGCACTTCCACTCAGACTGGAAATTCTCCTGCAGGCACAGCAGAGGCTGCTCCAGAGCAGAAACCACCATACTCAAGCTGGTTCTCATCTGACAGACAGAAGAGGCCACTAGAAGTTTCTGACAGTGGAGAAACACACACAGGGCAGGATGACCTGGGGGAGCAGGGCTCACCATGAGCGCCCAGGGACAGGAATGCAGAAGTCACTCTGGGGGTCAAACTTTCACAGCCCCTGGAGGAGAAGGAACCTTACTGGCATCGCCCCCTATGGGGTACAGAGCTGTGCGGGAGAGGCCTGCAGAGAAAGCCCCGCCACCACCACCCACTCCGCTAGGCCCCAGCCTTGCATCCTGATTAGGAAAATGCTTGGGCCTGCCCAACTGTGCCAGAAGCCACCCACCAGTTCCCAAATCACAGGCTCCCATTGTGGCCAACCGCAAAACTGCTTTAACAACCTGTCCATTAACTACCACGGGGTCACCACCTGCAGAATGTTCCTGAGGCTAAAAATATAGCCAGCTTCCCAGCCACACTCTTCTTCCACAAAACGTCCCAGGAGCAGAGCTGCTGCCTTGGAAGGCAGGGAGTCTGTGACTGCCCACTCAGCCTCTGATCAGCAGCATCGGTGGGGCCAGCCCATGAGAGGCAGGGCACAGGCTCTCAGCCCTCTGCACACTGCATTGCCCAGCAGGCAGCCCTCCTGGCTGGGCACACGCACACTCTGCCCTCCCCCTTGGGCTCAGCCACTCCCAGGCCAACCCAGTAGAAACATCTGCAAGGAAGAGCGAAACACCCCAGCCACTAATGAAACCCCGCCCTATCAACTGGCACCCAATGGAGCAGTGCTCCCAGGTGCCAGCCGCTGCCCTCCACCCTGATTCCTGACCCAGGAAAAACTGGAGAGGTAGCATCCCAGTCCAGCGCCAGGCTTCTCCTAGTAACCTACTGCAGTGGCTCACCTCATGAGGCATGGAGACCCAGCTGGCAGTGGCCAAGCCAAGCCTGCCAAAGGATGGCCACGGCCACTGGGAAACACACAGCAGCTGGCCACATTAAAACGTCCATCCAGACAGCTGGCCTGGGGCCTCTGGACAGCAGAACAATGGCCAGGCCCTGGAGGACAGGGCTCTTGGATTCAGCCTGTCCTCAGGGCCTGAGGCCACCGCGTCCTTCCTAACTTGCTCAGGGCACTGATTTTGCATACTGCATCTGGGTCACCCAGCCCCGTCCCGGGCCCTGTGTGCTCACACCTGTTGCCACGTACATCATCCACCACCTCCTGCGGTCCTCCCTCTGCTGGTGGAAGAGTTCCCACCGTGTCCCAGCCCGGGATCCCCATTCTCCAGCTGGTGGCTGAGGACTCTGCAACAGCTTTCTGGGCAAATGTAAACTCCAGGTGTGGGAAGGCAGCAGTGAGACTGTCCAGACCAGGGAGCGAGGGCCGGCCGTGCAGCCCAGAAGGCTCTGCCCAGCTCCAGGCAGCCGAGCAGCACCAGAGCCACCATTCCTCCGAGCAGCATGTGTTTCCCAGTGTTCCTGGCCCTGCCAAGTGAGTCCCTGTGAAGCCCTTGTGTTCCCTCGCCCTCGAGGGGCAGAAATTCACAACCCCACAGGGGTTCCCTGATGCTTGGGGAACTGCTTGCCTTTGTCCCCAGAGCCTCCCCATTCCACTCAGTCCTTAGTTGCTTAAGCTGACACCTTGGAGCCATCCTGGACCCAGCCCCTTCCCTTGTCCCCACACAGGTCCATGCCGGCTCTGCCTCTGAAATCCAGACTCCCATGTCCCACGGCCCCTGACCCCACCAAGGCCCAGGGACCAGGCCTCCAGCCTCTAGATGGCTGAGGTAGTCCCTAAGAGTTCACTGCTTCCACGATGCCCTCCTTGGCACACGCCTCAACACCCGAGCCCGAACCACTCCTCCTGATGTTAAGTCTTCACCATGGCCTCCGAGGCGCTAAACATCTGGCGCCCACCTCCAGCTCCCCCGTGATACGCCTGCTTTGCTCTTCCTTGAACACACAAGCAGGGCCTTGGCACCAGCCATTCTGCAAGACCTCCGCACACTCCCTCCCTCCTCCCTGCCCTGTCGCTGTGCATGTGTTCTCCCTGACCACCATATTGAAAACCACGGCCCCATGCCCCAGCCTTTCCTGACCTCCTTCCCTGCTTTAGGTGTCTCCACTGCACTTACTACCCCCTAAAATCCAGCATCTTTATTCACCCGGTCATTGCCCACCTTTCCTCACTGCAAACCAAGCACCATGAGGGCTGGAACCCTGGTCACTGCTCAGAACGCATTGTGGATGACGGCATAGGTCTGTAACCTCCGTGTGCAGACCACAGCCAACCCTCTCACCCAGGAGGGGTGCTCTCTACTTTACACAGTGACAGTGACAAGACTCCTGCCCTCCAGACTGCCTAAGGGAAAAACACAGAAGTCCTCCAGGGGTCTCACTGTTGAGAACCCAGGGCTGGAAAGGCTAGTCCAGCTTTTCACACTGCAGCTGAGGCTCAGAAGGAAGCACTGACCACCATGCCCTCCCGGACTACAAGTTCAAGGCCCTGCACACCACACCACAGCCCTGACTGCTTCTCAGTGACACGCTCTGCAGTCACAGGCACTAGGTAAGGAGCCCAGGGTTGGAGCCTAACTGCCTGGCTTCGCATCTTGGGAACTCCAGCAACTGCTTAACCCCTCTGTCTCCCCACCTTCCCACCTATCACCTCCCAGCACTGTCGACCTCAGAGAGCCACTGGGAGCAGCGGTGGGTTAACATACATGTGCTAAACTGCCCAGGCCCCAGCCGAGGCTGCATGGGGCATTTCAAAAGCAGCGCCTAACATCCCAGGCTGCCTTGGGACACAGTGAAGAGAGAAATAAGAAAAGCTCCTCTGCAAAGACAGAAAGAAAACAAAAAAGACCGGGAGAAATTAACATTTTAGGCAAAATGAGAGGAGGTGGAATGGTCTAAACAACAAATGAATGGCCTTCTGCCAGACACCCTTCCAGAATTCTCCTTACTGACCTACACGACCACATCCTTGGTGCCTTCCGAGTAATACTCTGTGGCTAGCAGGAAATAGCAAGGTTCACCATAATTTTCCTAAAGAAAATAGTAACACTCCCTCCGTGATGGAAGGAAGTGGCCCCATCATGGCTACGATGGATGAATCCAGA